GAAGGCTGGCTGCTCCTTTCGGCTTCACGGGATTCGTTTCCACGGTGCACAAAAGTGCCTCAAAAAAAAAGTGCAAAAGTGGAAGGTGTGCGGAAGAGGGGGTAGTCTTATACGGCGAGTATATAACAAACTCTATATTTTGAGTGGAAATGTTGGGGGGTCGTCTTATACGCCCAGTCATCTTATACGCCGGCAAATACGGTAGTAAAAATGATTGCTGCTTTGTTCTTCATCCTGAAAGTAAATGGGAATTATTCCAGAGAAATTTAGCAACATTTTTTGTAGTCTGCCTGCATAGTTGTTGGAATTATTTATTTATTTATTTTTTATTTATTTATTTATTTATTTATTTATTTATTAAATTGCCCCCTGTGCTTTTTAAAGTCAGATGGTAAGTATCAGCAATCAAATTACATCTGTGGTCCTAAGATTTTTAAAAAAAAAACCAAGGAAGCAAGAGCTTGTTGAGCAGACTATTCAAAATAATATGGAATTTTGTTTTCAGTTACTTTTTTTTTTACTTTAAGCACTTAAATGAAAATCCCAGGCTCAGGAGATTTGGGGCATGATACAGCTTGCATGCCACATCCAGGGAACCAAAAGGATGAAATTCTTACTCACTGGGCTTGGAATGGAATCTGGATCAAGTTTTCTTTGCTGTGGTCCAGCTAATGGTGCTGGACCTGAGGGAAGGCCACCTGGATAAGACAGTTGTGCCCCTGCCATTGGAGGACCATAATTTCCTGCAAAAAAAGGTGAAAATGTAATAATCTCACCAATGATTACAACTTTATTTTATAACCCGTGTTTTCTATCTGTTTTTTTTTTTTTAAAGAAGTGAAAAAGCTATTCCCTGTTTAAAATCTATACTCCAAACAGGACATAGCTATTTTCTCTCTCATATGATGGGGAACGATAAAGAGTGATCTCTATAAATAAAGATATGTTGGGAATATTTCGTGGAAAATGGTGAAAAACAAAGGAGAGAATGGTTTAACATATGTAAAATAAAATGCTTTCCAATATTTCTATTGTTTTCTTTAGAAACGGTGAGGAGTAGATGTTATCCAAATATGAAGACGTGGGGTAATCCTGCTGACTATTGAATTTTCTATTTCAAAGTTGTTTTCTCTCCTTTGTCCTGGTGAGTGGGTTTGCTGAACATGCATGCTGTCTATCAGTAAGCTATTCCTCCTATGGACATCTGATTTAGATAATCCAGAAAACAAAGGTCATTTTCTTAGTGTATGATCAGCAATATTCTGGTAACTGGCCAACTGTTATCTCCCTAACAATTATTTTTACTGTAATACTGTTAAAAATATTATTTTAACCAAATTTATATGGGGGTTCATCTTGCAAAGCAACTCTAGGTGGGTCATGTTGACTTAAAAGCTCAAATACAGTAATTGGTAACACATGTAATTGATGGCATTCAAAGACAGTATAAATTATCTGCAGATAACAAATCTACATCACAGACCCAATTTAAACATTTCTACACCTTCTGTCCAGTTAGGCCTTGGTTACATATACCTATTTTTAAAATTCCTCTTCTGCCAGGCTTAGAAAAAGGTGAAAAAAATCATGTCCTATTTTGCATCACTCAAGCATTTTGTCTCTGGGTTCAGATACAGATAATCAGAGTTGGAAGGGACCTTGTAGGTCATCTAGTCTAACCCGCCGCCCAAGCGGGAGACCCTACACCATTTCTGACAAATGGCAGTCCAGTCTCTTCTTGAAAGTCTCAACTGATGGCGCTCCCACAACTTCCGAGGGCAAGCTGTTCCATTGGTTGATTGTTCTCACTGTCAGAAAGTTTCTCCTCGTTTCCAGGTTAAATCTCTTCTTGTTCAGTTTCCATCCATTATTCCTTGTCTGGCCTTCGGGTGCTTTAGAAAATACCTTGACCCCTTTCTCTCTGTGGCAGCCCCTCAAATATCACTGCTATCATATCTCCCCTGGTCCTTCTCTTCACTAGACTAGCCATGCCCAGTTCCTGTAATGGTTCTTCATATGTTTTAGTCTCCAGTCCCCTAATCATCCTGGTTGTTCTCTGTACTTTTTCTAGAGTCTCAACATCTTTTTTATAATGTGGTGACCAAAACTGGATGCAGTACTCTAGGTGTGGTCTTACTAAGGCTTTATAGAGTAGTCATAGTCTCTCATTTGATCTTGATTGTATCCCTATGTTAATACAATTTAGGATTGCATTAGCTTTTTTGGCTACTGCTACACACTGCTTGCTCATATTTAGCTGGTTGTCCACTAAGACTCCAAGATCCCTCTCAGAGTTACTGCTATTGAGCCTGGTTTCACCCAGTCTATATGTGTACCTCTGGTTTTTCTTGCCTAAGTGTAGGATTTTACTTTTCTCTACATTGAATTTCATTTTGTTAGATGTGGCCCAGTGTTCATCTGGATCTTGAGCCTATCTTCTTGGGTGTTAGCTATTCCTGCCAGCTTAGTATCATCTGCAAATTTGGTAAGTTCCCCTTTGATTCCCTCATCTAAGTCGTTAATGAAGATATTGAAGAGTACTGGGCCTAAGAAGGAACTTTGTGGCATCCCACTGCTTACTTCCCTCCATGTAGACTTAGACCCATTAAGGACTACTCATTGAGTATGGTTTGCCAGCCAGTTGGGTTCAGAACTCATAATAGGTCCCAATGTTTCAAGGAGGACAAGAGGAACACATCTCAAGTAAAACAGAAATAAGGATGTTTTGTAACCATAAAAGTTTGACCTATAGTGAGGTCTAGTCAACACGTTAGGTCTCGAGTTAGCACTACAGGTCATACCAAGCCAATTTCTGTTCACTATGCCATATACAGCAAAGAATCTACGGACAAAAAAAAAACAACTCACATTTAAATCTTGTCTATTCTAAATTACAGCATTGGATGCTTCTCTCATTTCTCATTAGATGCTACTCCCTTCTCTATCTTCAAAACAGAAATTACAGCCTGCTAATCCTATGTCGCTTAGGTGAGATGCAGAAATTTAATAATAAATAAATGAAATGAAATGTACTATAGGTACATCTATACTTACCATACTGAGAAGGAAACCCAGGACCTGGAGTTTCACCTGCAAATTGCTGTGGCAAGTTGGTGTTCAGTGGATTTGGGCCAGGGATTCCCTCCTGCCTGGCCATTGAAGGAGGTAAAGATGGAGTGCAGTGACTATTCAAGTTATTTGGTAGAGAAACAGGAGGACTTGTTGGCAAAGCCATTGGATGTGGCTGAAGTGGTGGACCTTGCAAATGTGATGGTAGGCGTGAAGGCCCAGAAGAAGGTGGGTTCTGAGCATTACTGGGACCTAGGCAAGAATACAATTATGATTTATGCGTCTAAAACTCAAAATTGTCATGTAGTCACATCTGAGTAATTTGTCTTCTAGACATTTACAATAAATATTTTTTGTTAATGAATATGAGATTACAATGAATTACATACATGTTTAATTATATTTAAAGTCTGCACAGAGGCATGGTGCACCTCAAGTCAGACTAGAGTCCTGGTGATTTTATGGATATATTTATATAGTACTATTGGCAACAACAAAGAAGTGGTTTGCCACTGCTTTCTTCTGGTTTTTTTTCCCCATCCTTAGTCTAGATTGGTGATGGCTCATCTTTTCAGCACTGGGTGCCCAAAGCGCGCATGCAGCCCCAAAATGCAAAGTGTGCCCCCGCACATGTGCCCTGCCCCCCGCACAGCATGTGTGTCCTCTGCACACGTGTCCCGTCCCCCTGTATGCACCCCACCCCCCATGCATATTTGGCAGAGCTGAGAAGACCAGCTGGCTAAACAGATAATCAGAGTTGGAAGGGACCTTATAGGTCATCTAGCCCAAGCGGGAGACCCTATACCATTTCTGACAAATGGCAGTCCAATCTCTTCTTGAAAGTCTCAAGTGATGGCGCTCCCACAACTTCCAAGGGCAAGCTGTTCCATTGGTTGATTGTTCTCACTGTCAGAAAGTTTATCCTTATTTCCAGGTTAAATCTCTCCTTGTTCAGTTTCCATCCATTATTCCTTGCCTGGCCTTTGGGTACTTTAGAAAATAGCTTGACCCCTTCCTCTCTGTGGCAGCCCCTCAAATATTGGAAGACTGCTATCATGTTTCCCCTGGTCCTTCTCTTTACTAGACTAGCCAAGCCCAGTTCCTGTAATGGTTCTTCATATGTTTTATTCTCTAGTCCCCTAATCATCCTGGTTGCTCTTTTCCCTGTATTTTTTCTAGAGTCTCAACATCTTTTTTATAGTGTGGTGACCAAAACTGGATACAGTACTCTAGGTGTGGTCTTACTAAGGCTTTATAGAGTAGTCTTAGTCTCTCACTTGATCTTGATTGTATCCCTCTGTTAATACAATTTAGGATTGCATTAGCTTTTTTGGCTGCTGCTGCACACTGCTGCCTCATATTCAGCTGGTTGTCCACTAGTACTCCAAGATCCCTCATACAGTTACTGCTATTGAGCCTGATTTCACCCAGTCTATATGTGTACTTTTTGTTTTTCTTGCCTAAGTGTAGGGCTTCACTTTTCTCTAAATTGAATTTCATTTTGTTAGATATGGCCCAGTGTTCTAGTCTGTCAAGATCCATCTGGATCTTGAGCCTATCTTCTTGGGTGCTAGCTATTCCTGCCAGCTTAGTATCATCTGCAACTTTGGTAAGTTCCCCTTCTATTCCCTCATCTAAGTCGTTAATGAAGATATTGAAGAGTATTGGGCCGGCAGGAGGTGCGCGCGCATGTGTGCCAGAGCTGAGCTAGGGCAACGGCTCTTGTGCCCACAGAGAGGGCTCTGCATGCCACCTCTGGGACACATGCCATAGATTCGCCATCATGGGTCTAGATCCACAGAAGCTATTCAATTATGACTACTTTATTTTCAATAGTTAATCTCCTCCAGACATGATTAGGACTAAATCCAACCCATTAATAATTGTTAGCTTCCGGTTTTGCGTGGCTTCGGCGGCAGCAGGAATTCGCTTGTCCACGATTCCTGCTGCGCTTGCTGCCAAGGTGCCCCCGATCCAAATGGGTCTGGGGGATATGGCTGCCCTGTAGAGGCAGCCGAAGAGAGAGGGGATCCGGACAGGGGTTTGGGGGTGTCGCAGACCCCCTCCCCAGCCGGAAAAACCCCTTTTTCCCAAGGTGGTGGAGCGGCGGTCAGTGATGGCCGTCACAAAGAAGCCTGCAGCCGGGTAAGATTTGTGCTGGAGGACAAATGGAAACTGAACTGCTTGAATTGCCTGAGGATACATTGTTTCCCAAAGAAGATCGGAAAGCTGTGGTGAAAGCTGTTAAGGGGAATTTTTTTTTTTTCACTCTCCCTCCCCATAGAAATAGCAGACGGAGATCTGGAAAATCTACTTGGGCACAGAAGGTAACTCAATTTGAAATTTAAAGCCAAGGGATAAAGGATTTCTGGACATTGGATTTAAAAAAAACTTAAAATTCTTTTTATTTTTTACAAGGAGAAGGGAAGAGATAAAGACTTATTATAAGATTGTACTGAAGGAGATTGCTTAGAGTCTATAAGAACAGGATTAAAAGACATTAAGACTTCTAGAACAGGGGTCCCCAACCACCGGTCCGCGGACCGGTACCGGTCCGCGGAACAACTCCTACCGGGCCGCTGGCTTGCTGGGCACCGCCATCTTTTTTTGATGAAAAAGTGCTTCCGGTGAGCTTTTCCGGCTTTCTACCCGGAAAAGCTCACCGGAAGCACTGGTGCCACCATCTTTTTTTGATGAAAACGTGCTTCCAGTGAGGTCACCGGAAGCACTTTTTCATCAAAAAAAGATGGCGGCGCCCAGCTGATGCCGGTACCGGGCCGCGGCGCCCAGCTGATGCCGGTACCGGGCCGCGGCGTCAAAAAGGTTGGGGATCACTGTTCTAGAAGATCATCTTGGAAGTGTGTATTTGAATTCTACCCCAGGAGGTGAAAATATAGAAAGAAGAAAGTGCTAAATGAAACTGTTTGTTCTGATTTGGTTTGCTTTGTGACTTTGAGATTTCTGTGAAATTTTGTTTTTTTAAAAAATGGGACTAAAGACATTAGGGTTGCGTTAAAAAAGAAAGAAAGAAAAAATGGCATTATCTTTTGAAGGACTACAAATGGAATTTCAAAAACTGAAAAAAGCGGATAAGGGCTCTTCTGGATCTATCTTTCGCTTTTTGGAAATGGCGATTTCTACCTATCAAGAAATGCGACGACAGGAAGGCTGGGATGAAGGAGAAGAAGCCATCTTTAATGGACAAACACACTTAGTGGAGGAAGAAAAGCAGAAGGGGGGCAAGGAAAAGATGAACTTAGAACTTAAAAAAGCAACCAAGAAAAAGAAAAATGAGATGAAAAAGCGATATGATGTCAGAAAGCAACAGAAAAGAGAAATACAACAGAGAGGGAAGACTAAGAGAGTGAAATTGGAGAGACGGGGGGGTCAAAAAGTTAGAATGGAGAAGAAAGAAAGGGGAAAAGGAAAGAGAAGTCATAAAGGCTTTAAACAAGATGCAAAAAAATGAATTTTTTTTCAGAGATAAGGGGTGAGATAATTTAAAAAAAAAATGATTCTGCAAAAGTACATAAGAATGCATTGTAGACATTAGTATTTGAAGCTGAGTTAGAAAATTAGAATATTATATGATTTAAAAATGTATTAAAGGGAAGTCATGATTTAATTATAGAGTTTAATTTCTTATGAAATATTATCTTTATTGTTTAAGAATTAATAATAGAATTTAATTTCCTATGAAACATTGTTTTTACTATATTATAAATTTAATATTTCTTTTTTATTTGTTTTTAGTTTTATTATTACTTATCAAACTCAATATTATTTGTTTGTTTTACTATTTTGAAATGTAATACTTTGAATGTACGGAGCAGAATCAGCATGGAAAATATGTATTATTTTAAGTATTATTTAGGGGCAAGATAAAAAGTTGTCATACTTCAATCTGGGTTTACAGGAGAAATATTGTATTAGATAGAAAGGATAAGTAGGTGATTGAAAGAAAACGGACCAAAGATGCAAATATAATTATTTAATTGAGATGGAATAAATAAAATAGAATTAAAAGAATGAGTAGGAGAGAGAAAATATATGGAAAATAGAGAATGTTAAATGAGATATGAGATAGTATATTAAGTGAGTATAAATTTTGATTGATGTCTTTATAAAAAGAGTTAACTCGGGGTAAGCCGCCTTCCAAAAAGAAATTTTATGTATTTATGTTTTGTGTAATGTTTGTTTAAGTCTGACAGGATGTGGAAGAATACTAATGAAAATATATTCAATGAGTATACATTTTTAAGGCAGAAGAAATATGATTAAATAGAAGGAAAGGGAGAAATAAAGAAAAGTTTTGAAAAGATATGAAGTTGATTAGATAAGATAAATATATATATATATATATATAGAAGTGTGGAATTATCTTCTTTTTAAATAAGATGGTTTATTTGTTTCTTCTAGAAAAAATATTTTATGTTACTACATCCTATGTTTTGTTTGTGTGTTTAAAAAAATTAATAAAGTTTGTTTAAAAATAATAATAATAATTGTTAGATTCTAAACCAAAATTACCGCACAAGCATAGCTAGAAAGACATTTACCTAAATTTACTGTAGAAATTTAATAAATACATAAAATTCACTTAAATTTACATAAATTATTTAGATCACATTCCTAGAAGTAATTATTTCATTCCACTTCATGGTGTAAAGAAGCATACTTTGAGATATTTAAAAACTATGATACAGATGAAGGAAGGCAGCTACAAAGATTTTCAATCAATACTTTTACTACCTATAGAAAACAGAACATAAAATATGAGGATCCTTTGCTGAAATGTTAAGCCTAATCCATAAGTGTCCCATGGCATGTATAATATTCCAGAGATCATGTCTTAATATATACAGCTTCCAAATTACAGAGCAACCTTAGGACAAGCTGATTTTCAACATGTCAAATTGTACACTGTAAAATATGTGCGAGCAAATATGGTTGTCATTATTTTGTAGATGGCTGCAATTTTTGCATTCTCTTCTATAAGGTCAGATTTATTAAGGCAAGATTTGTATAAATTAATAATTGCATCTCTACACATAAAAGAAAACAGAGGGGAGATATTTTTCTAGTATTATTAACTTTATGAAGTTTGTAAAAATGAACACCATTCTATCCAATTAATAAATAACCATGATTTTACAAAATTGCTTAAAAATATATTTACAATGGGTAAAATTTGCATTAGGAATCTTGTATCAAAATAAGATTATGAAGGTAACTTTAAAAGCCATGATCCAGGTATTTATTCATTTACTCATATTAAATGGTACTCATTAGTACTGGGAATTGATATTATTAGGAAGTATTCAATAAGCTTTTGAACTGAGCTTTGCCTTCACCAGAAATATGTTTAAATGAATAGTACAATAGATCATCCTATTAAGTATTCTTAAGACAGGAAATGTTATAATCTAAGAAAAACTATATTGACTTAACCGTACTATATGGTTTGTCCCTCTAAGTATTTTTATACCACTTTTAGATGACATGTATATGATAACCAGTTGATATAAAATCTGTGCAATGTAAAATGCTCATTTCCAGGCTTCTGATCACAAATTCCCCATGTTATTAGATACTCATCTCATCCCCTTGCTTTACTACTACAACTTTTTGTTATGGTGCAGGAATCTCCAATTGAAAGCCCTTAATATAAGCAAAAATCCACTTACAACAAATGGATCCAATGGTTAGATCCAGATTGAATTAACTTTGTTTCTAGCTAATTCAATTTGGATCTAATCACTGAATCTCTATGGAATTCTATGGAATTTAAATTAGTGTTTCTACCAGGGGTGGGATTCTACCAGTTCGCACCTATTCACTAGAACCAGTTGTTAACATTCTAAGCAGTTTGGAAAACCAGTTGTTAGAAGAAATTACTGGCCTAATCCTGTAAGGAAGGCAGGAAGGAAACATTCTGGTGTTGCTTACAGAAACTGCCTCTCCGTTATTACATTCTTGGCAGGACTAGACTTCCTGACTCTGGAACATCTCTGGAGTTTTATTTCCTCCTTTGCTGGTACTTTGCTTGTGTCGAATAACCATTCAAAGTTACAATGGCACTGAAAAAAGTGACTTATGACCATTTTTCACACTTACGGCTGTTGCAGCATCCCCACGGTCTTGAGAGACCAGGCAAGAAGATGTGTGCCTCGATGTGAGTGATATTGAGTTGGCCACATCCAGCCAATTACATGACCACCAAGCCATGTCCACCCAGTTACATGACCACCAAGCCACGCCCACCAACTAAGTCATGCCCACAGAACCGGTTGTTAAAAAATTTGAATCCCACCCCTGGTTTCTACGCATTAAGTGTAGAAACACTAAACATTATTTAAATCCAATTCAATTTAAAACAAACCAATAGTTAAAATTCTAATCTTTCGGTGATTTGCAAAGTTGATGTTTTAGCAATTTATAAAGGAATAGATAGATTATGGATGCTTATAATGAAATATGATTATCCTTCACTGAAATGCTAACATAGAACTTTTTATATATGTATAAATATGAATAAATGTATCTAATATATATTCTTTTTAAAAGATTTTATTTTATTTTGACTTTCTGCCTTTATTTTTTCTCCTTTTTGTTTTTATACTGAATCACAAAAAGCAAAAAAGAAAAGAAAACACTTTATGCATGAATTATGCAATTCATACCATAATTACTTATCTGCATGTTGCCAAGCTGATTTGTCAGCTGTACTGCAGGCAGAGGGGGGCTGTTAGGACCAGACTGTAAAGAATGATGGTTGGAAGGATAAGAAGCTGGAGGACCTGGAAATCTGAAAACAAAAAATAACATTACAGAAACTCAGGAAATCACCATACAGTATATTATTTTGCTCATAAAACATATCAGCCAAGATGCACATGAATCATTCGTACAGACTCTGCAGAGAAAATACTGCACTTAAAATGTCCAGGAAACTAAAAAGAGGCTTTGTCTGTAGCAGGTTTATTCATCACATGCCGTACCACAACTTTGTGTTTAATTATTATTTATAGGAGAACAATTCTAGATGAGCCATCCTCAGATATATTATTTGTCCCTTGTATTTTTTTTCAGGCACTTTCATAATAAGAGGTTTTCTTCCACTTCTACTAAAAACAGTTTATCATTATGACTAAACCCATAAATACTATGGTTAGCTTTCACTGTAGCTTATTGAAAAAAAATATAGCCAGGTTGTTTCAATAAAGCACTTAACCAGTTTTTAAAAATTACTTATTACTAAACTGCAGCTAATCAAATGTCGAAGTTTCCAATTTCTTCTTCATATGACTGCTCAGCAGTAATAGAGTGTAAGTCCTAAATTGACCAAGGCTCATTCTCTGGATAATAAAATACAGATTATGAATACACAGACACTTTCAATTGTTAGAATCATTTTGCACAACTGAAATTTCTCTTCTAAAAAAGGGTTTCCATTGTGACATTATGCTTTACAAACACAATAGAGATGAGCTGAGATGATTAGAAGTAATTTTATTAGGAGACTAAATAGTTGGAAGCAGTCTTACCAAAATTCATTTCCAACCTAAACAGCTGGGAAAAGAATCCTTGGAAATTGACCTTTTTTCATATTGCAAAAAACTTAACTTGAAATTGGTGCTTTGCAGTTAAATGTAATCTAACACAAATGATCTCAGTTTGCAAAAAAAGTTAATATTCCCTATGAAAAACAACCATGTACGTACAAATAGCATTATGGATAATTCTGTGTTTAAGGGGTGTTTTTTCCTTATTCTTTCTGCTCCTTCATTTTGGTCTTTTTCCTTTGCATTTTTTTTTTCTAATTTATAATGGCAACACATATAACCGTGTGTATACAGAAGGCATTAGACTGTGCAAAGTGAGAACTATTTCACACAAGTCAGGCAAAATTTGGCTGGTTTGAGACTGGACTAAACCCTAAACTATGGTTTACAAACCATAATGACAGGATTTATAGAATTTGCTAAACTAAGACCAAACATTTACATTGTAACTTTGCATGATGCAGAAGTCCAAAATCTGAGTAATCATGAAGATTACTTAGTAACATTGTGCTTAGTGTGGATTTTACTTCCTAAAAAGTATGACTGAAGTCTAAAAATCTTTCCTTCTCTCTTTTAATCCATATTAGCAAACATGTTTTATTAAATTCTCTTAATAAAGAAAATTTTCTCCCCCTTTCTCTTCAAATCTTGAAACAAAAATAGATGAATTAATTAATGAAGAAATACAACATATATACTAAGCTATTTTTTTTCTTAAAACTTAAACAAAGCAAAACTTAATAGGGTTATAGAAGAATGATCTCAATTGGTAAGCAGCTCAATCCGAATAATGTGCCCTTATTCAAAAATGATTTCTCAGAGTCATGCATAAGTAACTTAACAACTTCTACAAAATATGACATTATTAATTCCTGCATACACTGCTTATTTAATGACCAAGAAACAAAAAGGAACTGAAATAGATTAAATCTCATCTCATGGCGCACCGACCTTCAGCTTTGATCTTTTAAGTTAGACATAAAGGTCAAAGGCGATTTTGTGGCCACAGAATATGTTCTGCATTATGGATGCTCAAAACATATGGATTGAATTAGGCCTTGGATTCTAATTATAATAACTGCTTGATACAATAGTAAAAGAATTAGGCTTTTCCTTTTGGTTAATCCAATTAACCGAATTATTTGGTTAATCCAATTATCAATATTCTAGAACTCAGTACAAAAATGATTTATTTTTCAAAAAGATTATGTTACTTTGTGTCCTTGGCATATGCAATATAATAAAAATCTCATTTTAGTAAACTGATCAGGGAGGACAGTGTCTGATTTTTCCCAAAGTCCAGTAAATCAACAGGTATGTCAGTATAGTGATGCAGATTACATTATTTGCCTTACGTTGTCATTATGCAAATGGTATCAATTGGCACAAATGTCATATGTATATTGACGTTTCCATACATTTATTTATTTATTTATTTATTTATTTGATTTGCCAATTGTTTACAAGATAATAAGTATAAGTGTATACATAGTTGTGAATACATGAAATGGGTACATATAAGAAAAATAAAAGAATAAGAGAAACAATAGGACAGGGACGGTAGGCACGTTGGTGCGCTTATGCACGCCCCCTACAGACCTCTTAGGAAAGGGGTGAGGTCAATAGTAGACAGTCTAAGGTTAAAGTTTTTGGGGTTTGGGGAAGAGACTACAGAGTCGGGTAGAGTATTCCAGACATTGACCACTCTATTGCTGAAGTCGTATTTCCTGCAATCAAGTTTGGTGCGGTTTACTTTGAGTTTGTATCTATTGTGTGCTCTTGTGTTGTTATGGTTGAAGCTGAAGTATTCATTGACAGGTAGGACATTGCAATGTATGATTTTATATACCATGCTTAAGTCAGACCGAAGACGGCGTAATTCAAGGTTTTCTATTTTTAGAATTTCAAGTCTGGTGGCATAAGGTATTCTACAACGAGTAGAAGAGTGGAGAACTCTTCTTGTGAAATATTTCTGGACTTTCTCAATTGTGCTAATATCAGATACGTAATGAGGGTTCCAGACTGATGAACTGTATTCGAGTATTGGTCTAGCAAATGTTTTGTACGCTCTGGTTAGTAGTGTGATATTACCAGAGAAAAAACTACGTAGGATTAGGTTAACAACTCTTAATGCCTTTTTGGCTATGTAGTTGCAGTGGGCTCTAGCACTTAGATCATTAGAGGTGAGTATTCCAAGGTCCTTTACAGATCTTGGGTCATCAACAAGGTCTTGACTATTCAGCTTGTATTTTATTTTCTGATTTTTTTTGCCAATATGTAAGACAGAGCATTTATTTGTTGAGATTTGAAGTTGCCATTTGTTTGACCATTCAGATACATAGTCAAGATCTTTTTGTAGGGTAGCAGTATTGTCTGTGGTATTGAACAGCTTTACATCATCAGCGAAGAGAACGCAATTGCTCTTAATATGATCACAGAGGTCGTTTATGTAGAGTATGAAGAGAGTTGGTCCTAGAACACTGCCCTGGAGGACACCACTATTGACAGGTACTGGATTTGATAGGACACTCCCGATTTTGACCATTTGTTGTCTGTTTGACAGGAATGCTTCTATCCAGTTATTCAGTTGTCCAGAGATACCATAGGATTTTATTTTTAGGAGTAGTTTGTCGTGTACCACTGAATCAAAGGCTTTACAGAAGTCTATGTAGATTGCGTCTATTGCTTTGCCCTGGTCGAGTTGTGTCGTCCATATGTTTTTGCAGTGTAAGAGTTGCAGATTACAGGATAGTTTTTTTCTGAAACCAAATTGTTTATTGGAGAGTAGGTTATTTGTCTCTAAGTGGAGGATGATGGATTGGTTAATAATTGATTCCATGACTTTACAGGTGACGCAGGATAAGGAGATTGGCCTGTAATTTTCAACTAAGCTTGGGTCTCCCTTTTTGAAGATGGGGATGACTGTGGCTTGTGACCATAGGTTAGGCAAGGAGCTGGTCCTGAAAGATTTTTCAAAGATTATGCTTAGAGGTTTGGCTATGGCAGTGGATAGCTTTCTTAAGAAGTAGGCACATATTCCATCCGGTCCAATAGATAGAGATGGTTTTAGATTGCATAGTGATTTTTCGACATTGTCTTCTGTGAAATCGATATGTATTAGATGTGTATGTATTACATGTCAGATACATAATATATTATACACACAACATGAATTCTAACACAATATGATTGTTATATTCAAATTTCATTGCATAAAAGTTTGTAAAATCAAAGTCTAGTGATAGCCAATATAAGTATGCTTCCAAATGACAGAAAGTAATGACTCCAATGTGTTCTCATCAGTCAGATATTACTTCAAGTATTCTGTTCTATTTGGGTCATCGTAAGACTGAGATAAACTGGTGTAAACTCTTAAAACAATAATAAGATGGTGAAAAAGTTATCCGGCAAATCCAATGAGAAAATATTGACAGAGTTGTTTATATTTAGCCTTGAGAAGTGAAGTACTAGAACAAATACGACAGTAGTCTTCTAATAGAGGAAGCCATATCATACAATACAAATCAAAGACTTATACTCTGTTGTGCCTGAATTTAGAATAATGTTTTTAAGCAGCTTCCAGATGAATATTAGGAAAAACTTCATAACAATTAGAGCAGTTTTTTTAGTGGAATCAATCGTTAAGGGAGTTGGTTCCTTTATACGTTGAACCAGGGATGGATTACCCTTTGGGGGCACTGCTTTAAGTTGGAATTCTGCACTGAGCATAGGTTAGTTCCTTCCAGTATTATGATCCATAGAACTTCTGTCAGACTAAGGAGCTTGTAAAATTGTGCATACTGCCAAAGGAAAGCAGATGCTGCTTACATCATATCATGGACTGAGCAACGGCCTACTGAATTTACAAAACAAGTTCCTGATAAATATTAACAAAATGTTTTCAGGAATGGATGTATCATAGAATTCCATTCTTTTAAAAGTATTTTTAGATCTACCGTGCAAAAACACAAAGCAACCACAAGTCCTTTGTAGGCTTAGTGTACCCTCCTCTTAGTGTACCCACCTACCCCAACATTTTCTGAGCATGTATGTGTTTGCACAAAAGACATTTCTGGAAGGACAGAAATGTCCCTTCTGAGCCTGCTTCATGTCACATGAGCAAAGAATTTCATCAAAGGCTCTGCGCAGTCCTTAAAAGCATAAAAAATATTCCTAATGTTTATGGAGATTCTAGGTCATTCAGGTCATGACTGTCCCAAAGGTGCTTTTTCAAGAGGCAAGTGGACTTTCTTGTTTTTCTTTGAAGGTGTTTTGCTGCTCATCCAAGAAACTTCTTCAGTACTGAACTGAAGAAATTTCTTGGATGAGAAGCAAAACGTCTTTAAAGAAAAACAAGAAAGTACTTTTGCCTCTTGAAAAAGCACCCTTGGGAATATTCCTAATGTTTTATTCTGCTTTGTTTCAAATCACCTGTTTGCCTGTGGAGCTGCTGCAGTGCTGGGTCCATTCTGGAAATTACTCTGCTTAGGTGAGTAGAGGTTCTGAGGTGGAGATCCCATGACAGGAGGAACTCCAAAAGGCACATTTGTTTTCAATATACCTAAATTAAAAGTAAACAAATTGATAACAATGGAAAACCATTGCATTTAAAGGAGTACACTATAAAAGTCAAAGCGAAAATAATGGACGTCAAAGAAATACATTAATAAACTGAATTAAATTACAAATTATTCAGTGCCTTCCATTTATATCAGTATCAGGAAAGAAGAGAAAACAATAAGCTTTTTAAAAGTTAACTTTATAGCTATACTTAAAAGGAAGAAAGACCTCAGTGAAAGAAGTTCATAAGTATTGTTTTTTTCCCAGGCTTTAAATCCAGAATCACATACAGCCTGAGTCCACAGACCATGATAATTTGTTCTAATTTTAGTTAGTTTTATGATAATGAACCCTTTTTTCCCAACTCATTACATCCAGAATTCCCCTGAAACATTTTCCTGGCTGAGAATCTGAAAAATACCCATTATTTTGAGAAAGAATCAGAATACAACAGACCATAAAGTAAACATGAAGTAACAATACCTGACTGAGATGCAAAAGTATTTGGATCATTATAATGTCCATGTAGAGATGAAGAAACTGTTTGTCCGAAGCCAGAAGAAAATCCACCCATTCGTGGCTGGGCCTGGGAATATGGAGGTGCTGCAACATATCCTTGGTGATTCATTTCAGCAGTATTTTTTCCTTATAAAAATGTGAATAAATAGGAAAATTATAATTTTCATGCACTAAAAATGTGAATTGAATTATTATTATATTATATATTATATCTTACTATAATATTATGGAAGGGCTCTGATCCTGTTTCTTACTATTAAGAAACAGAATCAGGTTCAATTCAAGTTCTTTTTAGATCTGCTGTTTTTGACCACGTCATCTCTACAGGCTTTCAACCAATTCCCAGAATACTGGCTAAGGACTTCTGGGAGTTGAAGTTCAAACACCTTAAAGTTGTGAACACTGAGAAACACTGATATTCAGCAACAAGAAAACAAAGCATCTCAATTTTATTTAAGGTGAATGCTTATTTGTCCCTTTCCTGGTATTTATCAATTTCATCCCTAATTTTAATGTTTCTTGCTTTTAAAATATGAATGCTCAGAGTTGGGTAGCTTTTAAATAAATCCTCCTAATTCCATGGGGGGGGGGGAGCCCCGAATTATTTAGCAGTCAGTTTCTTAGTGTTCCTGCTCTACAAGAATTAGCTAGCTCACTAGCTGTGAAAGGGTCTGCCTCCATTCTCTATAAGGTTATTGGTGCACAGCATATTTCCATATTTCTGCACATCATATTCTTTTAATTTGGGGAATGCCCAAATACAGTTGGGTGAAGGGATAAACCAGCCCAGAGAAGATAAAAAAACCAAAAAAAAAAATGAGAATTCCTCAAATTCTGCTGCAGAGCCCTCACTGGTAGGTATTTGCCCTGGCTGCTTGGAAAAGGATGGCATCAAAGCCAGAAGAACACAGCAATCATTTTGCCTAAGCAATGAGAGGTGCAAAATAATTCCCAACCAAACCGTGGAATTAAAAAAAAAATAGAACTGGTAAGAATTGGTAAAGGAAAAAACAAATGTTATGAATTTTGTGCCAACTCAAAGGTAGCATTACTTCAACTCATAGACAAGCGAAGACCCTAATCTGTAAGCCACCCAGAGTTGCTTATGAAGGGGGCAGGGGCCTCTAAATCTTTTAAATAAATAAATAAGTATCTGACATGGGTAAAATTCACAAGTATATTTCTCCTATTTGTACAAACAAAATATCAACTTCTGCAGTTCTATGGCTCACTACTTGCAAGAAAATCCTATTTACTTGCATTACATTACTTACTCATTAGAAGAAACATATAAGATTTGATGTGTTAAAATTTATAATTGATGAGGATGTTATTTAAAGTGGCAATTACAGTTGAAAAGAATAATAGGGTTCACATTTAAGAACATGCTCTTTGAAAGAGTGAAGTTTTCAATTCATAAGAGTTCCCAAATTTCTGTGCAGTGTGTTTTTCTGTTTATTAGATTTATAACATCATCCAAATCAGACAATGTGACTTTGGGTATCATACAACAATAACCACAACAAAAACCACTACGCATATCTATCTATCAGTAACATTAAAAGCTATGTGATATAAAAATGTAAAATACAAAACATAAACTATCACCAAGCACCCCCAAAAAACAGGATTCCACTAATGCCTGGGGGAAAAGCCAAGTCTTAATGGTTTTCCTAAAGTCAAGCAGAAGCAGGCCCTATCATACAGTATATGGAGGTAGGTTTCATTCCAGAGGACAGAAGCAACTTCAGAAAAAGCACACTTCCTAGGTTCCAGAAGACGACAAGATTTAAAGAAGCCTGGACCATGTCGCCCTGTGGGAGCATGTGGGACAGGCAGATGTTCTTGGAAGAAAGTGTCCTTCAACAAAAAACCCGGCCCTGTGCCATGTAAATCATTAAAGGTAATAAGCAGCACCTTGAATCATATCCAGAAGTCTAACGGAAACCAATGCATTCTGGACCAACATTATAGCAGTATTACAGAGCATATTGAGGTGCATCCATACCATTGTATTCTGGACCAACTGAACCTTTCCTATACTCTCTAAGGGCAACCCCACCTTGAGTGTGTTGCAGTGGTACAATTAGGACATGACTAGGTGTGAGCAACCATGAGCTGCTTCTTGTATGGGAATAATTATTGCACAAGAAACAGTTCTAAAGAGCCCCTCTGGCTGTAGCTGTCAACTGTTCTTCACGCAAAAAAGGTGTGAGTCCAGGAGAGACAACTAGAATGAAGGGGAAAAGACAAGAATTTGTATCTATCACTCTACCTTCATAAATGCAAATTTAGATTCTATAAAAGTTTACCAAGAAACAAGCTCCACAAATGTCAAAAAGGCTAATGCCTTTAATGCTAAGTAAATATGTACAAAAATGCAGTCAAAGGAACAGCTGTCTAAAATTTCTCCCAGTCACTTCTCAATTTTTCCACTGCCAAATTGAAACAACAGGAGAAAACAACAGGACAAAACGAGAGAAAAAATTACAGTAGACCTGTAAACAGGTTCAGTTAAAATAATTATAAATCTTTATTTCTTTACCACTAATTGGTATGTGCAAAACTAGGAGAGGCTCACACAAACCTTGCTCTCTTCTCTGACATACCACTGTGGGTCCTATATCAGCATGAATAAAAAAATGGTACATTTGTTGTTTGCAATAACTGGATGTACCAAATAAAGTTATCAAATTTCTGGAAATGAATTTATGCAAAATATGAAATGCATCAAAGGTATATAAAAATCAAATAAATTGTATATCTTGTACATCATAAGAACAAACACAGATTTCACACACACATACAACATAAGCTTTGTTGATTACAATAACATTTATACAGATGGAAAGGTATCCATGACTACTTACTCACAACTTACTAAAACTGTAGACACTGAAAGAAATGATAACCAATCAGCAGTATTCTTAATTATGAATGCCAACATGTACATCTGATCTGTATCATGCTATTTCTTTTCATATTTTGAAGACAAATATTTTTTGTAATTTAAATTAGAACTTTTAAAATTGTGATTTTTCAAATGCCATCCATGCACATAAAATGAGAAAACTATTTTTGGAGAGGTGGCACTTGTTAATTAAACACATTCTATGAAAGGATCAGATTGCTGCCAGTGATTTCCCTCTCCTCCCCCCACAAAGAGGCACATACTTCCTTTTTCTTTCGTGGATAGAAACGTGGCAGTTTAGAGCTGTAGTCATCTCAACAGGTGCATTTAACTGCTTGATATTAAAGCCATGCTGATTGTCAGCATTCTAGCCAGTTACAATTGATAATATTCTGAGCCAATAAAACAACTTCCTGCACAGCTGAGACAGAAAAAAAATGTGCCACGTCAGAACATCTTACGTAAGCCAAAGGCCAAGAAAGAAATACAAACATAACTGTGCTTAAATGACTTCAATCTACTTTCACTTTCATGATAAACAAAGTAACCCAATAAATGTATCTCCCTTCCTTCTTCTTTTCCCTTCCAACAATGTGTATCAACAAGATGCAAATTAAAACCTATTTTATAAAGCATCTCAATACTAAGAAGGTAATCCATCAATCATACTTATGTAGTAGTTTACATATTAGTTTGAAAACATCCCTAAAATTAGACTTTCCAAAAAGAGGTCAAAGAAAACCATTTTTAGGTAAGACGCAAAAAAAAGTAATTCAGATTTTAAGGCTTAGTTGTATAGCTATTAATTACTACCTACATAGAAAACGATCCAAACAACAAACACTTTCTTAACTAAGTCAGCAGAAGGTCTCCCTAATTTTTCCTTTTTATTCTATTATATAGCCAAATGGGATGGTTGATGCTAGGTAACAACAGATAGCAGGAGGACCTTAATTTCTCTAATACAGCAGATGACTTCCTCCTCTGTTTTGCTATAACCTCTTTGTGTCCCATTATGCAGTACTCTTGACTTCTCTCGCTTTCTTATTTGCTACATCATATATGACAGAACTGGTTTTGAAAATCCAGTTGGAGTCATAGTCCCCAAGTCTAGCTTGGAAGTGATCTCTGGTTTGTGACAGCTTGGCCAATCCAAACACCCCAGCAAATAACAATCACTGCAATCAGGAAACATTGGTATGAAATCGGAGACTGTGAACATGGAACACGGTCCAGGATGCCAACCAAAATTTGATTGTGAGTCAGGCTTCATGTTTAAGGCTCCCCCATTAATGATGATGAGAATCATAATTAACAGTAAACATGCACATTTTATGTACCTAGCTATTAATTGCAGGAAATACGACTTCAGCAATAGAGTGGTCAATGTCTGGAATACTCTACCCGACTCTATAGTCTCTTCCCCAAACCCCAAAAACTTTAACCTTAGACTGTCTACTATTGACCTCACCCCTTTCCTAAGAGGTCTGTAGGGGGCGTGCATAAGCGCACCATCGTGCCTACCGTCCCTGTCCTATTGTTTCTCTTATTCTTTTATTTTTCTTATATGTACCCATTTCATGTATTCACAACTATGTATACACTTATACTTATTATCTTGTAAACAATTGGCAAATCAATCAAATAAATAAATAAATAAATAAATAAATAAATAAATAAATAAATAAATAAAAACCAAAGAAGATATAAAATAAAAATAATCACTACATTACACTGAATCAACAGAGAAAGTCAATGCTTTTGTAATGATAGCAGATAAAACAGTATTGAAATGTCATATTCCTATAACTGAGATAATATGTTACGATTGTCCCATATATTCTTTAATATATGAAGACATAAGAGCTTAATCACAATCTATTCAGCTCATAATTAAAGGGTGACAATTGAGATGCAAGTTAAGGACAAAAGATGTATGCCACCACTGCAGCACATATGTCAAAATAACTATTTCCCCATTCTTGTCATACAATATGGCAGGGTCACTCTCCCTGCCCCCACCCCCCAACACAACACACTGTGGATTCAGGTAGCTTGTGTGTAGTGAAGATTCATCCCAATCCAAAAATCAATGCCAATATCTTTAATATATAGTATTTACAGAAAACCCTTTTGAAAATTACTATTTCAACGTTAAGTGTGAAAACCTTGCACTGCATGCAATCAGCCCATTGTTCACAGTTTTTGAACATGTTACAAATCCTTCAGTCTTGCAATAAAATTAGGGCTAGTTGCACCCAAGCTGGGGGAATGGGGCTTGACTGGGCTTTTTAATTGTTTTGAATCTAACTTTCTTAAAAGAATTAAACATATTTAGAACCTGAACAGCTTCAGGATAACTGAGCAGGTCGCAGACTAAATCACCGGATGCCCTTTAAAGCAAATCCAGCTAGTCCTCCTAAGGATAGACAGATTGGCCCCTGCATTAGCAATGTTCCCTATGAGACATCCAATTTGACATCTGCATCTCTTGCTCCGAGATAAACCTTCTCTTCCTCCTCTTCTATGGAAATTCAAAAGTTTTTTTCCAGCCCCAGATGCCCCTTGGTTCAAAAGGATGCTACCATCCCTGACTGCCCTACCTAACAAATACAGACGACGTTCAGAGGCGCTCTCGTGTCCAGACGGCACGTCCCAAAACGCTTCTAATTTCTCTTGCCCCCCCCCCCCCAATATCTACCGAAGGCCGTTCCTCTTACCTGGCCGTCCCCAGCTTTCAATTCGCTACCTCGCCCTGCTCTAAGCCGGTCCCGCAGGCGCTTGTCAGAGAGCCGCGCAACAAGCCGGCTGCCTTCAGGCTCTCCCTCCCCGGGAGCGCTCACAGAACTGCCACGTGTAACAGTGCTGGCGGGAGCGCGCGCGGAGGCCACAGCTGGCCTCGAAGCGCGCACTGCCGCCGCCACGCAAGCTGTGCTCTGATCTAAGCTGCCAGCCAGGCTGCGAGCATGCCCCCCCCACCAAAAAAAAAAAAACGAAAGGAAGGAGAGCATGCGTACTGCCTGCAGTGAAGCATTTTGCCCTTAGGTTGCGTTCCAGTAATCGCATCTTGTAAAAATAGCATGCAAAAGAGAAAAAGGTAACGCACCTAGGTTTTAATAAGGAATGAAAGACTGACAGGGAAATTTAATTCCGCCATTTGAAGACAGCAACGGTGGTTGTCTTCATAGTACCTGTTTAACCCACCATGGTTTATCCAATTTTTACGGATTTACATGTCACATGGAACTATATCTTAATTACACAGGGTGAACTTGATCAATGTGATCTGTTAAAATGTGGTTGAGTGTTTTCTGTTTCAATGGAGTGAACAAATGTACCATCCTTTAGAAAGCATTCAATTTACAAATATTGAGCCAAATATTGTCTGCCTTTTTAATAAATAATAAACAATTCCCTCAACCCTGTTCAACTATTACAAAGTCTGCACTACTATTACTGTTAAATCTTGTCATCACTCCTTATCACTCATCCCCTCCCACTTGTGACTGTATGACTGTAACTTTGTCACTTGTATTCTTACAATTTATATTGACTGTATCCCAGTATGATTGATTGCTTATTGTACCCTATAACTATCATTAAGTGTCGTACCTTATGATTCTCAACTCCTGACGAATGTATCTTTTCTTTTATGTATACTGAGAGTATTTACATCAAGACAAATTCCTTGTGTGTCCAATCACACTTGGCCAATAAAGAATTCTATTCTATTCTATTCTATTCTATTCTATTCTATTCTATTCTAT